CATTGGAGGGTTTGATGTTCCTCAAGGACCGATGATAAAATGCACAAAGGTATCCATCACAAGGGAAACGCGACCTCGAGATTACATACCAGAAGGGACTTTGTCTTTTAACGACGATGATGCAGAAGGGATTGTGCAGCCCCACAACAATGCACTAGTAATATTTGTACTCATGAATAAATTTCGAGTTAAATGTGTGTTAATTGATCCAGGTAGCTCGACCAACATCATCCGATCGAGGGTCGTAGAACAGCTCGGCCTCCAAGATCAAATCGTACCTGCAGTCCGAGTTTTAAACAAATTCAACATGGCATGTGAAATCACAAAGGGATGAAATAATATTACCAGTAAATGCCGATGGGACCATCTAATAAATCAAGTATTATGTGATCGAAGGGGACTGAGGTACAATGCCCTATTCGGAGGCAATGAATCCACAACATGAGGGCAATGCCCTCGACTCTTCACCAAGTGTTAAAATTCCCAACACCATGACGGATTAAAAAATCTACGGGGAGCAACCAGCCGCAAAGGAAATGCTTACTGTCGAAGAAGTGATTCTGGTATCAACACTGGCAACATCAAAGGGACCAAGTTCGGATATAAAGCAAGAGGCTAAATAGCAATTATCGACTCGAGCCACGACCCAATCGGATAAACAAGGGATTGGTGAAGACGATGATTATGGGGTTCCCAGATCTTTTATTGTCCCCGATGATTCTGACGCCACCAAATCAATGGTCGAGGAGCTGGAAGCGGTCACATTGATCAAATGCTACCTGATCGGAAGGTATACCTGGGCACGGGGTTAACCCCCGAGCTCAGAAAAAAACCTATTCAATTTCTTTTAGCTAACATAAATTGTTTCGCTTGGTCCCATCTTGATATGACCGGAATCTCGATGGAGATTACCACTCACAAGCTAAGCCTGGACCCGAAATTCTACCCAGCACAAACATGCTTTCATCAAAAACGAGGTATCTAAACTCCTTAAAATAGGGTCCATTCGGGAGGTGAAATACCCGAAATGGTCAACAACGTAGTGGTAGTCCCTGAAAAGGGGAACAAATTAAGAACGTGTGTAGACTATAAGGACTTAAATAAAGCATGTCCTAAGGACTCTTTCCCTTTGCCCAATATCGATCACATGATCAATGCTACGGTCAGCCACGAGATCCTCAATTTTCTCGATGCCTACTCCGGGTACAACCAAATACGGATGAACCCGGATGATTAGGAAAAAACCTCTTTCATCACTAAATATGGCACATACTATTATAATGTGATGCCATTTGGGTTAAAGAACGCCAATGCCACTTACCAACCCCTAGTAAACCGGATGTTCGAAGAAAAAATAGGGAATCCATGGAAGTTTACATTAAGGATATGTTGGTTAAGCCCCTGTGAGCAGAGGACCATTTAAAAAATTTGCAAGAAACATTCAGTATATTGAAGAAGTACAACATGAAGCTGAATCCGGAGAAATGTGCATTCAGAGTCGGATCAGGTAAATTTCTCGGGTTCATGGTATCCAACCGAGGAATCGAGATCAACCCCGACAAGATCAAAGCTATCGAGGATATCACGGTAGTGGACAATGTGAAGGTCGTGCGAAGGCTAACCGGGCACATTGCCACCCTGGGGCGATTCATCTCGAGGTCCTCCGATAAGAGCCACAGATTTTTCTCGTTACTGAAAGAAAAACAACTTCTCATAGACATCGGAATGCCAATCGGCCTCGGAAGAACTCAAGCGATATCTATCAAGCCCGCCACTACTTCACACGCCGAAGGTAGATGAACAACTATACATGTACTTGGCAGTATCGGAGATAGCGGTAAGCGGAGTTCTAGTTCTGGAAGAGCAAGGTACGCAATTTCCAATTTACTATGTTAGTAGGACCTGGGTGAGGCTAAAACTAGGTACCCTCACCTAGAAAAATTAGCACTCACTTTGCTAAGAGCCTCTAGGAAACTGAATCCATATTTTTAATGCTATCCTATATGTGTTTTGACTACTTACCCATTGCAAAATGTAATGCACAAACCTGAACTATCGAGACGGTTGGCCAAGTGGGCCGTAGAAATCAGCGGGTACGATATTGAATATTGACCCCGGACAGTCATTAAATCTCAAATTTTGGTAAACTTCGTGGTTGACTTTATGCCGGCCCTAATACCCGAGGTCGAAAGAGAATTGTTGGTAAACTCGGGAATGTCTTTGGGAATCTGGACCCTCTTTACGGACGGCGCCTCGAATGAAAAAGGGTCTGGGCTTGGGATCAAATTGAAGCCACCCATAGGCAATGTAGTTATATAATCTATTAGAACTATGAAATTGACTAACAATGAGGCCGAGTATGACGCCATGATTGCAGGTCTCGAATTAGCCAAAAGCTTGGGGGTGGAGGTAATTAAAGCTAAGTACGACTCCCTTCTTGTGGTAAACCAAGTTAATGTGACATTCGAAGTCAGAGAAGAACAAATGCAAAGGCATCTAGATAAGTTGCAGGTAACAATACATCGGTTCAAGGAGTGGACTTTGCATAACGTACCTTGGGATCAAAATAGCAAGGTCGGTGCCCTTGCGAACTTAGGGTTGTCGGTCGAAGATGACGAGCTCAACTCGGGGGCAGCCGTACAAATCATGAAGCCGGTAGTGGAAGAAGGTCACACCAAAATAAACTCTAAAAGCTTGACTTGGGATTGGAGAAACAAATATGTAGAATATTTGAAGATCGGGAAACTGCCCTCAGATCCAAAAGAATTGAGTACCCTGCGCACAAAGGCATCCCAATTCAGTTTGTTCGAAGATGGAACCTTGTTCAGAAGAATGTTCGATGGCCCACTAGCAATATGTTTCGGACTAGGAGATACTGCAACAACAACAACAACAACCTAGTATAATCCCACACGTGGGGTCTGGGGAGGGTAACATGTACGCAGACCTTACCCCTACCCCGAAGGGTAGAGAGGCTGTTTCCAGGAGACCCTCGACTCAAAAAGCAACAGAACCCGATATATTAGTACCATAAAAATGCATAATAAAATAACAGCAATACAATAATAGCAATACAATAGATATGAAATACAGAATACGACATACGAAAAAGTTGACTGGTATAGTAAGACTAGCAGGTAAAGCCCTGCATTAATAGATGACCAATGACATTCTTAGTCTAACTCCTAACTGGCTAGTCTCACTGGACTAGGAGATACTGATAAGAGAAAAATATCATGCATAAGTTGAGCTAGAATTTAATTTTTAGTACTAATATTTTTCTCTTTCTTTGCAGGAAATAATTAAACTAATAAGAAAAAGGAACAATGAGAAGAAAAAGTTCACTTTCCAAGTTTGCAAAGAAAAACTATAATGCTGAAAAGTTAAAAGTAAAGTGGTTTATGCAACTTTACAAATGATGAAAGTAGTTGTGCACATAAAAAACCCAAGACAAATAAAATGGAGAAAGAAAAGGGACAACCATTGCTGGAAAGAGGAAACCAAAAAGGAGTAAAATCATTAGTAGCAAGTGGACATGTGCTACTTTTGAAAGAAAATTTTGTCAGCAAAATCAATTTCAAGACACAAAGTTTAATTTGCCAAGTAGATCCAAGTTGCCGTGAAATCAATTTGGCATTTGTTAGTTGGCAACTTGGGCCAACTTAAATGAAAAAGTAGACAAAGTTTTATTTAATTGAAAAAGAAGTCCAGAAATAACGGGAATTGTTGGGGAGACCTTGCTATAAATAGCTGCATCTTAAGCTGTTTGAACCAGAGAGCAGAAAGCAGAAGCCTCATTCTTGATCAACTCATTTCTTTCATTTTTCTAAGTTCTTATTTTGTGAATATTTTCTTTCTTCTTTTAGCCACTATACTGGCTTCATTTCTAGTTCCGAATAAATTATAATATTGGAAATGACTCTAGCACCTGTTTTTAATTAAATAGCGGGCATTATTCTCTTGAATATTTCTTTCTATTTTCTTATTTAATGGGCAAGAATATTTCCGTTGTCAGTACTAACTCCATTATGGAGTAACTTTTCTTGTGCTGGTAGAGTGATGGATCTTAATATTTCTATATAATAGTAGATATTATTCCTCAATTTCACATGTTTGACCTGAAGTTTTTCATTTAAATTTTATCTGATTTATAGTTAGGTGTTATTTAATTTGTTAACATCTATCTATTTTATACTAAACATTAACTTTTACTAATTCTGTAATCGAAAGAGGAGAAAGAGTAAATAGTTAATTTTGGTATTGATAAATGTTAACTTTTATTTAGTGACATCTAACTCGTATATGTTAAAATTGATTCTACACTTATTTGTAATCGAAAAAAACGAATATTGTAGTAATTAGTTATAACAAGTAGGGTCACCGAAAGGGACTTACTAAAAAGAGCAAGTTTTAGTTTAAGCATATATTTCTGGCTCTTTAATATTACTATTCTAACGATTAATTTATAAACCGAGAGCAGTGCAATTAATTGTTCAACTTAAGTAATGATATATAAATGTAATCGTGAGAGGCATTTATATATTTGCGAGAAATAGAAATTGAAGGATAGTTTTACCTATTATATAATAGATATATTAAGTGAAGTTATGATCCCAATACCTTTTTATTATATTTGTGAAAAACAAAATATTTTCTATTGCTATATTCATGCATTTTTAGTTAGTTAATTCACAACTCAACTCTTCTTGGTTTCCTCAAATAGTAATTAAAACAAGAAATATTTGTAGAATAGATAAACCAATCTCTGTGGGTTTGATATCTTTCTATACTATAATTTGACAGAGTATTAGTTTAAATTTTATACACGACAGACAGTCAAATATTTGGCGTCGTTGCGGGGGATTGGCAACATCTACTTCAGATTAATTGTTTTGTTATTAATTTGAGAACTTACTACTATTATTATTATTATTAGTAGTAGTAGTAGTAGTAGCAGCATTAGTATTATTATTATCTTTGTTTTTTTTTGTTACTACTGTAATTATTGTTACTAGTAATGTCTTTCTAGAATCTCTTATTAACAATATTACTACTTACGGTTTTCGTATCATTTTTCTTTCTTCATCTTTATAATTTTTTTTTTATTCTACGGTATTATTTTATTGTTTCTAGGATCAGCTAGCTCATTTCATAAAAACAACATATTTTATTTTCTATTTTTAATTAGTATCACTAGTTATATTAAGTACTACTACTATTTTAATATATATTTTTTTCTTTTTTGTATCACCACTACTATTTTAGGAACTAAATTTGATTTTCTTTCAAAAAAGATTCTTTTCTTTAAGGAATTCAGATAGTTTATGACCCGCTCTTCTACAAAAGAGTTGGCGAATTACGATTCAGAAATTGAAAAAACTCTTCGATTGCACAGAAAAGGACAAACATCATCTCCTCAAAGTATAACTTGTGAAGAAATGGAGAATGAAGAGCTTAATAATAACCAACTTCCACCACATCAAGTGGAAGAACGGTTCGATGAGGTGGCTTCACGACGTGATAGAATACTTAGAGATTATGCAAGGCCAGATCATTTTGAAGGAGAATCAAGTGTGAGGAGACCAACAATTGCAGCAAACAACTTTGAAATCCACACAGGTTTAATTCAAACCATTCAACAGTCATGTTAGTTTACTGGTGATGCGAGTGAAGATCCTCATACCCATCTAATTGATTTTCTTGAATTAGTTAAAACTTGTAGGTATAATGGAGTCACAACAGACGCTATCAGGTTATGGCTTTTTCCTTTTTCATTAAAAGGTGATGCAAAAACATGGTTGCGAAGTCTGGCAAGAGGTTCAATCACTACATGGGACCAAATGACTCAGAAATTTCTTAATAAATATTTTTTACCGGCAAAAACATTTAAAATGAAGCAAGAAATCAATAATTTTATGAAGACAGATTCTGAATCTGTATACCAAGCATGGGAATGATTAAAAGCAATGTTAAGATAATGCCCACACCATGGTATCCAAGATCCTGACATCTTATATATATTTTATCATGGTCTTAAACCCTCTGCTAGAAATGTTATTGATGCAACATCAGGAGGATCCATAATGAGCAAAACCATTGCAGAAGCTATGCAATTGCTTAATGAAATTTCAGAAAATGCTATTCAATGGCCCTTTGACAGAATGATTGTTAAAAAAGCAGCAGGAGTCAATCAAGTGGATGTGACGACCCTGCCGGTTGTCTTAAGAATTAACACCTCGATCCCCTATTAACTGCTTTTCCCAAGTTTATTTCTGCTAATGTGAATTTTCGGGATGTTCGGTTTTGAATTTCGGTGAGTTTCGGGACACTTAGTCCCTAAATGAGAGCTTAAGTGTTGGAAAATTGACCGTAGTTGGAACAGTGTGAAAACGGCCTCGAAATGGAAATTCGATGGTTCCGCTAGCTCCGTTGGGTGATTTCAGGGTGGGGAGCGTGTTCGGAGTATGTTTTTGAGGTACGTAGCTAATTTAGGCTTGAAATGCCGAAAGTTGAGTTTTTGAAGTTTCCGGTCCGATAGTGAGATTTTTGATCTGAGAGTCGGAATGGAATTCCGAGAGTTTCAGTAGTTCCTTCATATCATTTGGGATGTGCGTGCAAAATTTCAGGTTATTCGGAGATGGTTTGGTTGGGTTTTTTATCGAAAGCGTATTTTGAGGAAATTTGGAGTTCTTAGGCTTAAATCCTTGATTAATCCGAGGTTTCGATGTTGTTTTAGGCGTTTTAAGGATTGGTACAAGTATGAATAAGGTATTAGGTGATATTGGTGCTTTTGGTGGAGGTCCCGGGGGCCTCAGGGTGATTTCAAATGGTTGACGGGAAGGTTGAAGAAGTGTTGCACCAGTTGTAGCATTGCTGCTTCTAGTATTTTCACATCTGCGGCTTGGGGACCGCAGATGCAGTGCCGCAGGAGTAGCTAAAGGGCCGCAGAAGTGGCTTTGGGTCGGATCTTCAGAAACCGCAGATGTGGTGTGAGGCTCGTAGAAGCGGAACCGCTCCTGCGGTTAAAGGTCTGCAGATGCAGAAGCTGGAGTTTTAGTGAGAGTCGCAGATGCGATGTTTTGTCTGCAGAAGCGAGACCGTAGATGCGGTCCTAGGGCCGCAAACGCGGTAATCGCTGGGCAGAAAATATAAATAGTTGCCTTAGCAAAATTGAGTCATTCTTCCACCATTTTCATCCGGGTTTGAAGCTTCTAAGAGGGATTTTTGAGGAAAATAAAGGGGAATTATTTGGAGGTAACGTTCTTGGATTTATAACTCATTTTCATATGATTAAAGACTTAAATAATGGTGAGAAATTTGGGAAAAAGGGGTAATTAGGGCTTGAGTTTAATAGACCTTTAAATGAAGATTTGAGGGGCCATTTAGACTCTGATTTCAGTGTTCTTATTATGTATAGAATCGTGAGAGTACGAGATTTCTGAAAATATAAATTTTACCCGATTCCGATACGTGGGCCCGAGGGGCGTTTTGGCCATTTTACATAATTCCGCGTATCAGCTTAGACTTTAATTGTAGAATCAGTTACTTGAGGTGTTATTTACAATATGCAATTGAATTGAATAGATTTGGGCCGTTTGGAGTCGGATACTCGTGGCAAAAGTGTGGTTTTGAGCCGGTTCAAGGTAAGTGGCTTATCTAACCTTGTGTGGGGGACCTTCCCCTTAGGATATGATATTTGATAGTTGAAAGGCCTTGTACGTGAGGTAACGAGGTCATACTTGAGCTTATTGTTGGAAATCCTATTTTACTTTAAGTATTTAAAGTGAGTTCCTTTCTTACCTGTTTTTATTCTACTTACAAACTTAGCCTGTGTTAGTTTAGAAAAGCATGCTTAGTTGACTTAATTGCCTATTTGCTTAAATTGCCTTAATTGCGTTACGTGAAGCATGTTAGGCTAGAATTAACTGTTTACTTGTTACGAACTTAGTATTTGTTTTGATATTCTTGAGCTGCTGCAGTGTGTTTTAATTTGGGACTATGTGACGGCATCCCGGGAGATCCCTTGCACATATTTATGATCTGGACTGAGGTGTGGGATACCAAGAGATCCCTGGCATGGGTGTTGAGGATACCAAGAGATCCCTAGCACGGGTGTTGAGGATACCAAGAGATCCTCGGGATACCAAGAGATCACTGACATATATATTAAGGATACCAAGAGATCCTCGGGATACCAAGAGATCATTAGTGTATTTATTGAGGATACCAAGAGATCCCTAGTGTATTTATTGAGGATACCAAGAGATCCCTAGTGTACATATTGAGGATACCAAGAGATCCTCGGGATACCAAGAGATCCCCGGTTATTATCCCTGCTATGAGCAGTGTTTTTCCTTGTGTTATGCCTTTATTTTTGTTTCCGTTATTGTACTCTTATCATAATGTATAGATTTTTACTGTAGATTCTCATTTATACTATTTATCTTATCCTGTCATGTTTATTATTATTATTTAATTTACCTTAGTAGGGCCCTGACCTTCCTCGTCACTACCGAGGTTAGGCTTGGCACTTACTGAGTACCGCTGTGGTGTACTCATGCCCCTTTCTGCGCATGTTTTTCATGTGCAAATCTAGGTACCTCTACCTAGGCTTATCACCCTTGAGGCAGGGAGATCTTTTGGAGACTTCGAGGTACATCTGCCGCGTCCACAGACCAAGGAGTCTCTATCTTTATTCTATCCTGTAGTGTTAGCCTTTCCATCTTACTGTTGATGTAGACATTTTGGAGATTAGAGGACTTTACTGTATTTCTTCTAGCTTGTGTTCCTGTGAGTTTCTGGGTTTTGGGATAGTGTTGTAGAAGTTTGAGATGTCGTGATGTATATGCCGAGCGGCTTTCTATATATTGCCTCCCTCTTTGGTTATTCTTGGTGTTCCTTTATTTATAGTTCCGCAAGTTTCAATTTTATTTCCGCACTTGTTAGGCTTACCTAGTCATAGAGACTAGGTGCCGTCACGATAGTTCACGGAGGGCGATCTAGGGTCGTGACAAGTTGGTATCAGAGCTCTAGGTTCATTGGAGTCACGCAATACAAGCCGGTTTCTTAGAGTCTCGCTGATCGGTACAGAGACGTTTGTACTTATGAGGCTATGTAACTGTGAGGAAAACTTCTAATTCATTTGATTCCTTGTCGTGCGATATTTTGACATCACGATTCTAAACTTATGTCTTTTATTCTCTCACAGATGGTGAGGACACGTGCTACTCGAGATGATCAGGCACCTGCGCCCCTACTGCCGCGGTCAGAGGTCGGGGCTGGGGTAAAGGCCGAGGGCGTGCCTGGTGTAGCCAGAGCACCTATGCAAGCTGCCGCCGAGGTACCATCAGCAGATCCAGCCGGAGTCCAGGCGCCTGATACACCTACTGCTACTACTACTCTAGCCCTTCAGGAGACTCTGGCACAGTTTATGAGCATGTACACCACTTTGGCTCAGGCAGGGTTGCTTCCCTCTACTGCAGCTACATTCCAGGCCGGGGGAGGAGCATAGACTCCCGCCGCCCGCACTCATGAGAAGTGAGTGCATGTTGAGCAGGCCCCTGAGATTATTCCTGTACCGCCTGCAGTGCTAGTTCAGTCCGAGGGCATGACAGCGGCTTCCGAGCAGAAGCAGCTGAGGCTTGAGAGGTTCAAGAGGTACAAGCCCCCTGAGTTTAATGGTCTAGCATCGGAGGATGCTCTGGGATTTCTTGAGGAGTGTTACTGCATTCTCCGTACTATGGGTATCTCAGGATCGAGCGGGTTTTCTTTCACTACTTTCCAACTTCGAGGAGTCGCCTATGATTAGTGGCACACCTATGAGTTAGACAGTCCAGATGAGGCTGCTTCACTAACTTGGGCTCAGTTTTCGGATCTGTTCCTGAGAGAGTATGTTCCTTAGAGCCTTAGTGATGCATGACACGCAGAGTTTGAGCATTTGCGCTAGGGTGCTATGACTGTTTCAGAGTATGTTGTCCGTTACACCAGTTTGGCTAGGCATGCACCAGCCTTGGTTGCTACTGTTCACGAGAGGGTTCACCGGTTTATTGATGGGATTATTCCCAACATCAGGTCTAGCATGGCTCGTGAGTTGGAGATGGATATTTCTTATCAGCAGGTGGTGAGCATTGCTAGGAGGATTGAGGGGATGCATGCTAGGGAGAAGGAGGAGAGGGAGGCCAAGAAGTCACGAGAGTCAGGGCATTTCTCAGGTGCCCGTGCCCCAGCTTCAGGTCGTCATGGTAGGGGTCATATGAGTCGCCCCGTTCATTTAGCTCTTCCAGCAGCCAGCAGTGCTCCAGCTCCTCCTAGGCCTCAAGATCCTTATTATGCACCTCCGGTTTCTAGCGTGCCTCTTGCGCAGGGTGCTTTTAGAGGTCAGTCTAGCAGACTTGGCCCGAGCCAGTCACAGCCACCACGTCCTCCCAGAGCTTGTTTTGAGTGTGGTAACACCCGCCACGTGGTGAGGGATTGACCTAGACTTGAGAGGAGTGCACCCCCATAGACTTTTCAGCCACAGCGTGCCCCGTAAAGTTCTCAGGCTATGGTTATAGCTCTTGTTGCTACCTCACTTGCTTAGCCAGCTAGAGGTGGAGGTTGGGTAGGTAGAGGTCACCCTCGAGGGGGAGGACAGGTCAGATACTATGCCCTTCCTGCCCGTACCGAGGTTGTTGCCTCCGATTCTGTCATCACATGTATTATACTAGTTTGTCACAGAGATGCATCGGTTCTATTCGATCCAGGCTCCACTTACTCTTATGTGTCTTCTTATTTTGCTCCGCTTTTGGGTGTATCCCGAGATTCCTTGAGTTCCCATATTTATGTTTCTACTCTTGCGGGAGATTCTCTTGCTGTGTCTTCTCTTGATTTTGACATTATCTTGGGCATGGACTGATTGTCGCCCTATTTTGCTATTTCTGATTGTCACGCCAAAACCGTGACGCTGGCTATGCCAGGTGTACCGCGTGTTGAGTGGAGAGATACCTTAGATCACACTTCCAGTAGAGTTATTTCTTTCCTTAAGGCTTAACATATGGTTGAGAAGGGGTGTGACGCGTATCTAGCTTATGTGAGAGATGTCAATATTGATACCCCTTCGGTTGATTCAGTCCCCGTAGTACGATATTTTCCCAATGTGTTTCCAGCTGATCTTCCAGGCATGCCGCCTGATAGAGATATTGATTTTGGCATTGATCTGTTGCCGAGTACTCAGCCCATTTCTATCCCTCCAT